TCGGGTTCTCTGACCTCAGAAACGTCCAGAAAACATGTTTTTTGAGATGACGTAAATTTTGACCCATTGCAATACTTTCCCCTTACACACTAGGTGTGTGCGGAAAAGTAATAGAGCGACTGGGCTGCCTTTTTTCACTCGTAAGTTGTGATTCGTTTCATTTCGATGTAACTGACTGGGACGTTCACAGGGGGAGGTAGGGGAGGGCGTTTGCTTGCCCTTGAGCGCAATATCCTCATTTGGAAGCAGGAAAATTATTCGGATTTGCTAGGGTTTTCTAGAAATTTGTCCTAGTTTTCCATTTGACTTGACCGCCACCCTAGACCAAATCCTGTGGACGCTCCTGGAAACTGAAGTCAACCAAAGTTGAAGATTGATGAGAAATAAATAAAACAAAAAAAGTATTCAACTTATTGACATCTGATTACAACATTTAAAAGAAATTGTTTAATTCTATTTACTAATGAATAGCAACAAGAATGTGTTTCACAAATATGAAAGGTTTTGTTTTAATTTATTCTAAACCGATCAAAATATTTGACGAAGAATCTTCAAATTTGAGTTTAAAAACTCTCGTTGAGCTACAAATCACATACAAATCGTTTGCACCATTGTTCTTCTAATGTATCTGGAACTCCTTCTTCGGCACCATATTCGTTGAGAACCTCTTTCGCCGTACCGGTGACTAATACATTTTAATCGAAATGTTACTTTTCTACAAAGAATGGATAATAATTGAAATACTAACTGTTCATCTGATCAGCAATCTGCAATGGAGTTTTGCCGTTATTATTTCTAGCATTGATATCGGCACCAGATTCAATGAGCATCCTTACGAATTCACCACTACCTACAAACAAAAAATAAATCGTCTTTGTTTTCAACCGTATACGCTAAAAATTTACCAGTGTATGCAGCTTTAAAAATCGGTGTTTCTCCTTGATTATTTTTCGCATTCACCTCGGCACCGTTTTGAATTAGAAGTCGACCCATTTCTGTTTTGCCTGAATGGAAATAATTTATGATTGATAGTTTCGTTATGAAGAGAAAGGAGATTTAAGGAGAATACCATTCATGGCAGCCGTATGGAGAGGAACGTCTTTGTTTTCAGTCCTCGGATTAATTTGGATGCCTTTTTCAATGACAAGATTGAATACATCCACCAAATCTGAAGGTAACGATTTTTCAATTTAATTCTTGTACATTATTTTGAAATAAAATAATAAAGAGGAAATTTACTATTGGCTGCAATCCAAAATATCGGGAAATTAGCGTTGACGTCTGCACCAGCCTCAACTAGCAGTTTGCTAACATTCGTATTCACTGATGAGAAAAGTGAAGAAAAAATATTGACATTGGCATTCATTCAGTGCCAGAAAACGTTTCTGAAAAATTGTATTTACGCATTTTAACTGCTATGTAAAATGGTGTTTGTTTTGTAATATCTTCGGCATTGATATCAGCTCCATTTTCAATGAGAACCTTCGCCACATCATCTGAGCCTGAAAGATTCATCGTATTTAGTTTTTTCTTTGCAAAAGCAACTAATTCGATTTTTTGAAGAATTATTTCCAGAGTTTTCAGCGCTGATTTTGGCAAATAATTGAGAACCATCGAATATCACATGATCAATCGCAAATTGCGGCAGACTTTCCTGAATGGAACTAAAAATTGGAAGTGATCCAAGATCGAAACGAGGCTGTGCTGTTTTAATTTTTCATTAAACTCAAAGTGAGTCATCTCCGAACACCTCATTTTCACTTCCACGTGAATTTTCTTTACAAAATCAATAAAGGAACGATGTGAGGTCCTTCCTCAGCGAATCTCAAATTATGTCTCACATGCAACACACTTCGCTGCGTCAGCTGAGTAATACTCTGAATACATCTAAATATACCGTAAAGTGCAGCTACTTGCAGAGGGCTTTCGCCAACTCCGTCTCTTGTATCCACATCGGCGCCGTATTGAAGAAGAGCCTTGACTACGTCCGCATTGTTTTTTTGTGCTGCAACATGTACTGCCGACCATCCATTTAATTGTATAGCATTAACATCGGCACCATTTTCAATAAGATATTGGGCAAGATTTGTTTCATCTAAAAAAAGAAACAAATGAACTTTCGTATGATGGAATGATCTCGAAAATTCAATTACCAAAAACAATTGACCACTGTAGCAACGTTTGACCTTGTTCATCGCTTGCATTTACACTGACTCCACTTTCAATCACAGCTTGAGCTGCATCCATATTTTCTAATCAACCACAAAAAAATCGATTTGAATCCAGTTTTCTAGTTCGATTTTTAAATATCACTCACCATTTTCGGTTGGTGAGTACAGTTTTGAAATAACCTTTAAGATACCCCCGCCATACAAGTCATCTGCCGTCTTTCCCTCATTGTTGCGAATATTGATGTCAGCACCATTTTGGATTAAAAGTTTGACCAACAAAGTTGAACCATCTGCAAATTGACATAAAACGAAATGAAAAATAGTCTTCAAGTTGTTCGTTGGGAGTCTATTGGGTACCTTGGTAGTACCAAGTGAAATGAAGTGCAGTGTTTCCATCATCATTGACATCATTCACAATGGCACCACGGTCAATGAGCGCTTTCACGACATTTAAAGAATCTGAGGAAAAATGTTTCAAATTATTGATAAGCGGAAAAAGAAAGATATTCAAGGAGCCAAAATCTCTGAGGCTACACACAACCAGTGGCAACAGCAGCTTCATTGATTTTCAATTTAAGCAATAAATTAGTTTGACCGCTACAAAGACATGCTATGAATATCAAAGACCTAATGGACGCGCTAATACAAAATTGGTTACTCAGATCAAAATTGAATTCAAGTAGTAACAGCTTCTCATGGCATATCTTTGTGACGATCACATTCTTTAGTATCTTCATATCTGTGAAGTTAATTATATTTGAACAATTACTAGGACGGATGCTAGCAAGAAGTGGTGTATTTCCAAGTTGCCCTTTAACATTAACATTGGCGCCAGATTCAATAAGAAGCTTTGCAACGTCTTCAGCTGAATGAAAAGATATGTATCAATAAAATCAATTTTTTCAGTGAAATTCCGTTAAAAAGTTGTGTCAAGCTAAGTGCAAAAAGTTCAAATGTACCCACCAAAATAGCATGCAATATGGAGTGGTGTGTTGTCATACTTATCGATGATATTGATCTTAGCTCCATTTTCGATTAGGATTTTGGCTACATCGGCTTTGGCTAGATTAAATCAAAATACAATTAGGTTGCATGTTTTACGTGAAAA